CCTGCTCCCTCTGGGCACATCCCAGCTCCCTCTGCCAGCCTGGCACGGGCAGCATCTCCTCGAGTGGACATTGCATGGGGTCCCCCCGAGCACGGCCCTGCTGCATGTGGTTTTTGTCACCCCTGTCCCCTCCGTGCCAGCTGCCCTTGGATGTTTTCCCCCTGCTGGAGCTCCCCTCCTGTGCCTAACTCGGGCTTCGTGCATCCTAAAGGAGCCAGGCTTCACCCAGAGCTCCCTCGGGTTAAGCCTGTCCTAAGTCTTGGTTAAGCCTGTCCTAAGTTTTCCCAGCAGGAATTTTTTGGGCAGGGCTGAGAGAGACCTGAGTGCTGTAGGACAGAGCCACCTCTGGGTCTGGCTGCTTCCTCCTTGGTTTTTTCCTCTCCAGCCCATGGGCAGGAGGAGTTCTGATGCTGCCAGGGAATTGAGGAGGTTTTCAGCTCAGTGCCTGAGTCAGTGGAAAATGTCTTCTTGTGCTTCTCCTGCTGTAATTATAAGTTATAATTATTATTAATGAATATATAATTATAATTATTCGCTGATAAAACAGAATAAATGCCTGATCTTCTGCTGAATGGTGAATAAATCAGGCGTTTGGGCAGGTGAGGGGTGGTTAAAACCACCTGCAACCTCTTTTCCTTATGTACTGCCTCGTCTCCTGTAATCCATTAATCAACCATTCATCATTAATAAAAATTCCCTTAATATAACACTTAACTATTCAGGGTATTCTCAGACCTCCCAAGGAGTTATTTGCACTCCCAAGAAGACATTTCCCTACAAATAATTAAAAAAAAAAAAATGGACAAGGATGTTGTAATCCTGAAAACACATGAAAGCACATCGTGCAGGCTGAAATAAATATTATACTGCAATGGTTTTATTGTTATTTTTCAGGCAGGCTGAGCTCAGTAGCACAGACATCCTCAGCAGTCCAAGATGACTTGTAGGATTAAGGCACATGAAAGCAACAGGAAAAAAATGTATTCAAAAACAACTCTGGTTGCTTTCATCTTGTTTTTCCACACCCCTTAGCAGAGCAAAAAAAAAAAAACCTTGGTGACCCTGGTCAGAAGGAAATGTTTTTCAAATGCCTCCACTGTACTTTTAACTACCAGGGGGAAAAAAAATGTACTTGAAAGAGAGCTGCAGATTCTGTTTCCCTTTATCCAATTAATTGTAAGGGTTTGGATTCTGATCTGGCATCATTTGCACCAAAATAAAAACAAAAAAAACCCTCCCACGTTTCAAGAGTCCTTCCATCTGAAAGGTATTAGCAGGATGAAGGAGTGGGAGATGGATTTCAGGCAGGCACCGAGTGCTTCTGAACTGATTTCCCTCTTTATTGTCAAGGTGAAGCAACTTTTTCTGAGCTCTTCACGCACTGAAAGCTGAATTTGCTGAAATATTTGCAAAATCCTCTCTCTGTGGAGAACAATCCTGCTCTGACTTGGTGTGACCTCAGTGTCTCTCCCACTTGTAAAATCCGCAGTAATGCTGCCTTGGCCTTGTGTAAACTCGGAATATTTACATTGCTGCAGTTTGAAAGGAATTTGAGTGCCCACAGCCATCCCTGTGGTCACACTTCCATTGGAGAGAGGCACAGGCAGTAAATGCAGTCCTGGGGTCCAAACATTCTCCTTGCAACACTCCCAGGAATTTGGTCACAGGCAGAAATTTCCATATTTTGAAGAGAGAAAAAAAACAAAAAAAAGGAGGAATCACGACCAGAGGCAGAGCTATAAAATTCATGTACACGGTTTTAGATGCATCCATGCCCTGAGCCCTAGATTATATTGTTGAATTATCTATTTTATAAATATAAATTCATATTTCTTTTTCCAGAGGAGCTTGTGCTGGTTGTCCTGCTGAGCCAAGCGCTTTGTGGCTGTGTCCTGTGTGCTCCCATCCCTCAGGAATGCCCTGCTGCTTTTCCTTCCAAAGGTCCCAAAAAACCTCCTGGAGCTCGGGGCAGGTTCTCCTCCCAGCGGGAATGTTCCTGGCAGCTGCAGGACTGGGAGAGATGGGTGCTGCCCCGAGCTTCGCCCTGCTGCAGCTTGGCTGGGGTGGGAGCTGCTCCCTGGGCTTCGGCTCCCGTGCCCATCCTGCTCCTGCCCTGCTCCCCGTGCCAGGAGGAGCCCGCGGGACAGAGGGACGGACCTGGGCTGGCACCAGGCTCTGCTCGTCCCAAAAACCCCGCTGCGCTGTGGTGGGAGGCAGGGTCACTCAGGGATCACTCAGGGATCGCACAGGGATCACACAGGGATCACACAGGGATCACTCAGGAATCACACAGGGATCACAGGGATCACACAGGAATCACTCAATAATTACACAGGGATCACACAGGGATCACACAGGGATCGCACAGGGATCACTCAGGAATCACTCAATTACACAGGGATCACACAGGGATCACACAGGGATCGCACAGGGATCACTCAGGAATCACTCAATAATTACACAGGGATCACACAGGGATCACAGGGATCACACAGGAATCACACAGGGATCACACAGGGATCACACAGGAATCACTCAGTGATCACACAGGGATCGCACAGGGATCACTCAGGGATCACTCAGGAATCACACAGGGATCACACAGGGATCACACAGGGATCACTCAGGAATCACACAGGAATTGCACAGGAATTACACAGGGATCACTCAGGGATCACTCAGGGATCACACAGGGATCACTCAGGAATTACACAGGAATTGCACAGAAATTACACAGGGATCACACAGGGATCACACAGGGATCACACAGGGATCACACAGGGATGACACAGGGATCACTCAGGAATTACACAGGAATTGCACAGAAATTACACAGGGATCACACAGGGATCACACAGGGATCATTCATCATGGATCACACAGGGATCACTCAGGAATTGCACAGGGATCACTCAGGGATCACTTGGATCACTCAGGAATCATTCATCATGTATTGCTCAGGGATAACTCAGGGATCACTCATCATGGATCACTCAGGGATCACTCAGGGATCATTCATCATGGCTCACTCAGGGATCACTCAGGAATTACACAGGGATCACTTAGGGATCACTCAGGGATCATTCATCATGGATCACTCAGGGATCACTCAGGAATTACACAGGGATCACTCAGGGATCATTCATCAGGGATCACTCAGGGATCTTTCATAATGGATCACTTAGGGATCACTCAGGAATTACACAGGGATCACTCAGGGATCACTCAGGGATCATTCATCAGGGATCACTCAGGGATCATTCAGGGATCACACAAGAATCACTCAGGGATCACTCAGGGATCATTCATCAGGGATCACTCACTCAGGGATCACTCAGGGATCACTCAGGGATCACTCAGGGATCATTCATCATGGATCACTCAGGGATCACACAGGGATCACTCAGGGATCACTCAGGGATCACTCAGGGATCATTCATCAGGGATCACTCACTCAGGGATCACACAGGAATCACTCAGGGATCACTCAGGAATCACTCAGCCCCTCCCCATGTTTTGTCCACCCCCGTTCTCCACCCGGTGTGCAGGTGAGCCCCAGGCCCCGTGCCGGTGGCCGGCAGCCCCGCGGCCCCGTGGCTCACGGCTGTCCCCTGTGTCCCCACAGAAGCCCAGCGCAGGCCCTACTACGCTGACTACTCGCCGGCCAGGAGGTACATCCACAGCCTGTGCACCAGCCACTACCTCGACCTCTTCATCACCTTCATCATCGGCGTCAACGTCATCACCATGTCCATGGAGCACTACAACCAGCCCAAGGTAGGGGCTGCCCCCCAGCACAGCTCCCCCGGGAGCAGGTTGGCCATGGGGTCCTTCCCAGTGGTGCTTGAGGGGTTTGGATTTTATGTTTTCCATGGAAAAAAAAATCCTAAGAATTGTTGGCTGTGCTTTGCAGGATTTATATTTGTGATTCTTCAGGGTGTAACTCCAAACTCCACACACAGTGTGAGCTGCTGCTGTCCCATTCTGGGCAGACACAACAATTCCTCTCCAGGTCTGGCAGTCAAGGACATCTCACTGCCTCAGGGGCCAGAAATGTAAACTAAAGTGAGTTTGGGGGGAGCAAACTCGGGGTCAATGACTTCATTACCCGAAGCTGTAATTGGAACATTAACCCCCAATATGCAAATGGACCAAACTCATTAAAGTGTGAAAACCCATGGCCCGTGGTCCATTTTTGGGTGTAGCCTTTGTCTGCCCTAAATGTACCTGAAGGCCCTTCAATAAATAGAAACATTTTTAATCCCTTAATTTGGTCTGGCCTCTGTTTTTAGGTAGCCCCAAAGAGGCATCCCCAGTTTTTGGGCAGCCTCAGCATTCTGATCCAGCTCTGCCATTTGGGATTCACTGCCTCAGACAAATCCTTCATTTCCCTGCTGTGGGTAAAACACTCCCAGCTAATGGAGAGTGAATTAAGCTTTTACCAGGAAAAGACCAATCCAAATATTTCCTCCCCTGATCCCAAACCTGTGACTGAGCCTCACACTGGAAAGCAGTCCAGAGTTTTAGAACATTCCATTAACAGATATAAACTCGGAGTTAAGGCATGCAGAGCATTTATTTTCCTCAATGAATTCCAAATAAACCAATTTAAAAGTACAATCCTCACTTTTTAATGCATTATAAAATCATTCTCTCCTCAGAACACCTTTGACATGAATCATAGGGGGTGACAGATAAATTTATATCAATTTATAAATTTTCCATTTCCTTATCATTTATGAAGCTCTGGCTCAGCATTTACTTTTCCAGCATCCCATGGTAACCTGCAAATGCCTCCTGGATGCTGAGCCAGAGGGTAATGTGTGTGTGTGTGTTTTTTACACCAGGGTAATTCCTTTGTTTCCCATGGAAATGTTGTTTATCCAGATTAGATTTTATTTACTCTTGGTTTACATTCACTTAACACAGAGTTGCAAATCCAAATGCAAACTGCCACCAACGATGGCAGAAGTCAGGCTCAGGCTTTGGATGGAACAGGAAATTGTGTTTTTTAAGCTGCCATTTTATTTTAGGTACTGGAACAAAAAGAGGAATTGATGCCAACACCTAAGAAACTTCCAGCTCTCATTCCCAAAAATCAGGGCATGGCCGTGCCCTGGTGACCTCACTGTGTGTGGGGTCAGCATCACACAGAGGGGACAAAAACAGCTTTCCTGTGCCCTGGGGTTTCCTGCAGCCTCCTCTCTTGCATTTATTTCCAATTTTGTCTGGTTTGATGCTCACAATTCCTATTTTTTACTGGAAATTCAGAGCCCTGCGCTGCATTAAATTCAACCCCCTTCCCTCCCTCCTGTCCCCCAATCCCTCCCCACCCCAAGAGCTGCTTCCCCCTCCAAATGTCTATTTTAAGGCCCCACAAGATTCCTTTGCTATTGTTGGCCCCCAGCTCCAATGAAATCCATTATAAACACTCATCATCCCCCAGTATAAACATGTGGATTCCTGACTTCCGAGGGCGGCTCCGTGGACAGCGGCAACGTTGCACCAAATATGGACACGCTTTGCCCAGCTCTGGAGATGCCCCATTTTTCAACAAAGAAAGGTTTCATCCATCTCCAGGGTTTATTTATTTTCTTCAGCTTTTGAAGCAAAGCCTTTTTTTCCCGAGGGCTGGAATCAAGAAATGATCCATCAAGGCTTTTCTCCTCCCCAAGGCTGGCTGCTTCAGACCGAGGAATCTTCAGGAGATGGGGAAGGGGTGAATTTTTTCCTGTCTGGTCCAGACTGAACAATTGGTGCACTGAGCTTGACCCTGACATATTTAGCAGGACTAATCTTGGAGGGTTTTGTTTGACTCAGGGGCTGAGCCTTTATTTGAGTTCTGCTGGCTGATTTAGTGAGCCCCACCAGCCTTTATGACTTTATTCCTGAAATGTCTGTGCTCCTCTCACCCTGCTCCCTGTGGGGCTCTAGGAAGGGATAACTGGGCTGGCCTAACTGGGATTTCTCTTTCCAGTCCCTGGATGAAGCCCTCAAGTACTGCAACTACGTGTTCACCATTGTCTTTGTGTTCGAGGCGCTGCTCAAGTTGGTGGCCTTTGGTTTCCGGAGGTTTTTTAAGGACAGGTGAGAGCATTTTGGACCCCTGTGGATTTGGGATTCAGGGTGGGACTGACCCAGTTCCAGAGCCAGATTTTGGGTTTCTGTGGTGACACACAAAGAGCCCAGGGCTGGCTCTCAGTGGGTGCAAACTTTGTAGTGTAAGAACCAAAAATCCTAAGAACTGCTGGCTGTGCTTTGCAGGAGGAATTTGGGAAATCTCCCAAATTCATCTTTTTTCATCTTTTCCCCAGTATTTCCCCTTCTACCAGGTCAGCTTAGAGTTCAAAAGCACTTCCCAGTCAGCTCCCAGTCAATTCCCAGATTTTGAGGCTCACAGGAAGTGAGCTGGTTTTGTACCACCTAAAAATCACTGGCCCAGATGAGAACGAGGAGATGTGTAGGGAAATAATAGATTTGTAGAAAAATTTTAAAATTTAATAGAAACTTTATATCGTATATATTTGTATATAAACTTTGAAATAAGAAATATTGATTTAGAAATATTATAGGATAAGATAGATATTGTTGAGAGAAAAACAGAGAAAAACAGAAATAAAAGTAAGTTTTAAAGGATGGTTTTAATTAAAAAAAACCTAAATACTTTAGAGAAATAGAACTATAAAAGATATATTGTATTAAAACTCAAGAGGAGTAATTTTAAATAATTAACGCGACAAAGATGCATTTGGGATTTGCTGGTGCCTGCTATTAACGCAAAATTCCCTCCTCTTGGATTATCCATGTTGGATAATTGGGATGTTGGGTGTCCTGCCTGTCTCTGTAGGTGGAACCAGCTGGACCTGGCCATAGTCCTGCTGTCCATCGTGGGGATCACGCTGGAGGAGATCGAGATGAACGCTGCCCTGCCCATCAACCCCACCATCATCCGCATCATGCGGGTGCTCCGCATAGCCAGAGGTGTGTCCTGCTCCAGCCACCCCAGGAACCCTCCGGAGATTGGTCCTGCCAGCCCTGCTGGTTCATTTCCAGTGGGGAAGGTGGAATGGCAGCTCAGAGAGCAGCTGGGGCTTCCAAGGGCTTTTCCAGTGCTTGGGTTCTGATTCCAGCATGGGATCACAGGGCTTCCATCCTGGATCCCAGAGCGGGGTGGGAAGTGATGGCAATTAGGGCTTGGGGAGGGGATCTCCACTGGTGAGGTGCCTCCCATTTTCCTGCTGGGCACCTTGGGGTTCTTGTGGGTTTTTCACAGAATCACAGAGTTCATACCCTAATAAAATTAGCATCCTAAAACCACAGCTGGAAAATCCTCATAGAATGTGGTTTCAAAGTGACAAAAAAAAAAAAAAAACAACTAATTTAATGTTTATTCATTCAGGTTTGGGGGGAAATTCTTTGTCTGGTGTGTGAAGAATGCCTATTTATGGGCTGAGGATGACAAGGAACTGTCACTGCATTTCTGGGGGGTGATTTTCATCAGCTTTGGATTTGGTTTTTATTCAGCAATTTGAGCAACACTTAGAGAACCAATTATCCCCAAATTTGGGGGAATGTAGCATTTTGATCCAGGATTGTCACAGGATTCATCTCCTCTTGGGAATCCCAGAATCACGAGGTTGGAAGAGACCTCTGAGATCATCAAGTCCAACCCGTGCCCTAACACCACAACCAGACCAGAGCACCGAGTGCCAAGTCCAGTCTTGTTTTAAACACATCCAGAGATGGTGATTCCACCACCTCCCTGGGAAGACAATTCCAGTATTTTATTATTCTTCCAGTGAAAAAACTTTTCCTAATATCCAACCTAAACCTTCCCTGATGTAGCCTGAGCCTATTTTGTCCATTTTCATCGAATTCCAGGATGGTTTGGCTTGGAAGGGACCTTAAAGCCCATCCCATTCCACCCCTGCCATGGCAGGGACACCTTCCACTATCCCAGCCTGGCCTTGGACACTTCCAAGGATCCAGGGGCAGCCACAGCTTCCTTGGGAATTCTATTTCAGCCCCTCCCTACCCTCCCAGGGAGGAATTCCTTCCCAATATCCCCTATCCCTCTGGCAGTGGGAATGCATTCCCCTTGGGACGGGCAGGGGGATGTTCATCCCTGTGGGATGCAGGGAGCTCCCCACGTGTACAAACAGCAGCAAGAGAGATCTAAACCCTCCCTGCAAGACCTGAACCTCGATTTCCTGCCTGGATTTTCCCTGCAATACCTCCCAGCCCTGCTGAGCGGGATTTGCTCCTCATTTCAGTGCTGAAACTGCTGAAAATGGCCACGGGCATGAGAGCTCTGCTGGACACGGTGGTGCAAGCCCTGCCCCAGGTAAGCCCCCGAAATTCCTCCATGCCCAGGGTGTTCCCCTTGGGGACAGAAGTGCCTTTGGGGCCTGGGGACAACTCTGTGGTTGGTGGCCTCCACTTGGGGAGGGTCTCAGCTTTCTCCAGGCCGTGGGAGTGGAGTTTTGCGTAGCTCATCCTGGAATGTGTTTGATGGGAGAAGCAAAATGATGGGAAGAGTTCCCAGAGCCAATTCCTGTAGGTAGAGCTGGTACAAACCTCAGATTTCACTGGCAAGTTTGGGAAACACCAGCAGGGACAGAGAAGGATGTTGGAGAAAGCATTGGGATTTTCCAACTCAGAGTTTTATTTGGGAGACAGGAAAAACCACAGTTATTGACAGAGGTGCTGCAGCCTTGGAAAGGCAAATTGGGGAGATGCTTCTGAGGGTTAAAAGCTTGATTTGGGGTCACCAAATTCTCCTGAGCTGCAAGAGAAGCAGCAACACTTCCAGACTTTGGGAATTTGATAGGATCCTGCAAGTGTTCACTTTCTGGAACCTCTTTTTATGGATCTGACAAAAGAAGGAAAGGAACTTTTTGCAGGCTTTCTGTCCTCCATCAGAATTCCAAGGTGTTTGTGTTTGGGTGTGGGTTTTATTTTTTTTAGTTTTATCCTTTTTAAGGCGTGTTCTGCTCATTTGTGGGTGTGCTGGTGTGAGCTCTGACTGTTCAGTGTTGGAGTTATCTCAGATTAACCCTGCCCATCCCAATTCCCTGGGTCCCAGGAGCAGCCAAGGGCAGACCCCATGTGGGTGGGAGTCATGAGTGGCCACAAGAGAAGCAGCAGCAAACATGGAATTACCCAAAAACGCCCCTGGGGCTCAGCTCCTGAGTGCAAAGCAACCCACAATCTATTCCAGGAGAGCTGGAAAATGGGGGATCTCTTTTCCTTGCAAAGACCCCTTTGCTTTGCTCTTCATCATTGCCATGAAGATGTTTCTAATCCCAGCATCCAGATTTCCTTAAGGATTTGGGCTGAGCCTAAGCAGGGATTTACCAGCCTGGCCCCTGGGCTGGCATTTCAAGAAATCCTTGGATTTGTGTCTGTTTTTCCAATTTACAAAGCATTGTCACCACAGCCTGTATTTTCTCTCCCTCCTTGTTTTCTGTCCCCAAACCCACCAAACAATAGGGTGGCTCCAGGCCAGGTTTCTGGTTTCCTTGGGGTGTTCTTGCAGTTTGCATTCCCAGCAAGGTCTCTTGGCAAGGGAAAACCCCAGGGATATTCCCAGCAGATCTCGTGCAGATAAAAGAATGCCACTTTGGTCTCCAGTGAAGCTCAGAAAATGAGAAATGAATTTTAAGAAGAGCTCTTTGACAATCATCACTCTTCATAAAGCTGCAGCTTTCATTTCCAAGGCAGGGCATGAGTTCATACCCTAATTAAATTAGCATCCTAAAACCACAGCTGGAAAATCCTCATAGAATGTGGTTTCAAAGTGACAAAAAAAAGCTAATTTAATGTTTATTCATTCAGGTTTGGGGGGAAATTCTTTGTCTGGTGTGTGAAGAATGCCCATTTATGGGCTGAGGATGACAAGGAACTGTCACTGCATTTCTGGGGGGTGATTTTCATCAGCTTTGGATTTGGTTTTTATTCAGCAATTTGAGCAACACTTAGAGAACCAATTACCCCCAAATTTGGGGGAATGTAGCATTTTGATCCAGGATTGTCACAGGATTCATCTCCTCTTGGGATTTCAGACTGAGCTTGAGCTGCTCTTTTCAAACTGTTCCTGCCCTGCTCCTTGTGTGGTAACCTCTGCCAGGTCAAAGACCTTCTCATCCACCTGATCTGTGGAAAAAAAATTAGATGGAGAAGAGGAAAAAGATGAGGAGAGGCCACAGAGACAGAAGAATGATCAGGGAATGATCTCAGATTCTCTGCCCACCTTCTCCATGTCCTCCCAATCCCTGGTTCTTCTTTTAAGGATTCAGTGTTAGGGACTCAGCTATCCCCTGTTGATGGAATACATTCATGTTTATTCTTCCTACTAAAAAAAAATAAATCTGGTGAGGTTAGTCAGGATTAGCAAGGTTTGTTTTTTCACTGGATGTAATTTTGCTTTTTTCTCGTAGTACTTCTCCTGTTTGGAGCAGTGGTAGATAAAATAATCTCCTGCAGTCTGGTGAACAGGAGAGCAGTGAACTCTCATCTCTCAGTGTGGAGCAGCTTTTCAAGCCCTGCTTCAAGTGTTTTCCTCTTCTTTCTGAGCTCCTGCTCGTTAAGGCTCCATAATGAATTACACCACTCATCCATCACTGATCATTTCCTTGCTCCTGCATCTGGTGGCTGCTGGCTTTGGAAGCAAAGGCTGCTCTCTAAGGCTCCTGCTTGATGGTTTTCCTTTTAGTCCTTTAGTTCTTTTCCCATTCCCAGCTTTCCAAAGTCCCTTTCTGTATCAGATTTGGGGTATTTTCCAACTCCCTTTCTGTATCAGATTTGGGTTAAAATGCCCCTGGTGGAATTGAATCCCCCAGCAGTCACTGCTGAGCTGCCACAGCTCTTCCTGGTGGAGAGGACAGCTGGAATCCAGCCCAATTCCCACCCTCCAACAACAATAAGAGGTGGAACTTCCCTATCAGAAGATCTGGCTTGTTTTCCCTTCTCTGGTCTCCCTTGATCCGTGGATGGCACATTCATTCCCTGCAGGCTGCACAAGGGACTCCTCTGTCTTCAAAAGCTTGGAACTGCCCCCACAGGGACTCTGTGCCAAGGAAAGAGTGAAGAACTCCTCATTCCAGCAGAGCCCTGAAGGGCAGGACCTGGATTTGCTCCTGTCCAGGAGTTTATCTCATTTTGGTGCCGTCATTCCTGGGTTTATCTTAGTTTGAGCTCCTGGAGAGTTTTCCTGGCATTGTTCCACAGATGGTGGAGGAGAAAACCAACCACCTGCCTCTGGCAGCCCCTGGAGAGCCACAGGGATGGGAATGTGTGAGCAGGCAGCACTGGGCTGGTGGATTTGGGGAGGTGGGGAGGTGTGGCTGTGCTGCAGAGATCCCTGAGGGATCCCTCAGCGACACAGAATTCCAGAGGTACAGAAACCCTGCTGGCTCTTGGGGCTGAGGGGACACAGAAAGGGGACCTTGCTCAGGTCAGCCTGAGGCAGCTTCACCCTCCAAGGTCCTGGCTCTCCAGCAGTGCTGGAATTCTCACAGCTGGCCTCTGTTTCCCAGGCAGATGTGTCCATTTTCTCCTGGACCTAGTGCATCAATCAGGCTGTGTTACCCCACTGCCAGGGTTACTGCCTGGAAGGAAGATGGGGAGGGAACATGGCATTGGAAAGGCTTGGCAGGAGCTTAATTTTATGGGGAATTGCTCTGGACAGGCATTCCAGGGAGCTGAGTGCATCAAAAATGGGAATGCCAATGGATGTCAGAGCAGGAAGAAGTTTGGGAGGAAGAGGCTTCACCCAGTGAGGGGCAGAGGAGACACAAATTCCATCAGTGCCTCTCCCAGCGGCAGCTGGGTGCGTGGAGAGGGAAGCCCTTCCCTCGAGCTGAGGAGGTTATTCCAGGATTTTTGCAGTGGTAGGGCCCGGATCCAGCTGGGATCCACTGGGAGAGGCTGCAGCCCCTCCTGGAGGCTCTCCCTGCCCCTCTGGGGGGCATGGAGGACAATGCCAGTGTCCCCACAGCATCCCAGTGCTGCCAGCCTGCATTCCAGAAGGGAAGGTCCAGGAGAATCACAGATACTCACCAGCATCTCCAGCTCTTGTGGCTTCTCTGGGGTCCTCAGGGCACCAAGAACGTCTCCAAAATGTTCTTTATCTGTGCTCCTGTCCCTGCAGTGCACAGCCCCCCTTGGACTGGATTCCAGTGCCATCCTTTCCAAAGGCCATCCTTTGAAACTTGTTTCTGGGTCCATTTCTCTCTGAGCAATGTCTGTCCTACCCTGTGGCATTTCTCAGTCAGCATTTCTTATCTCAATGTTTGCACACAGATGCACACCCACCGTGTGGGCCTTCTGTGGGCGTGGGGAATTCTCTGCAGATCCATTTCCCACGTTTCTCCTGGTGGATAGGCTGCAGAGGGAGGGGATATCTGGAGTGTTCTGTGCCCAGGCTCAGGGGAGCTGGATGAATTCCAGAGCCTGGGCCGAGCTGCCCAGTTCCGCTGGAGCAGAACCCCTTCTCTGGGGCTGCCAGGGCTGAGGCTGCTGCCAGAGCTGGATTTCTGCTCCTGCTGGAGCACCCAGCACAGGCTTCCTTTTCCTTTTCCTTTTCCTTTTCCTTTTCCTTTTCCTTTTCCTTTTCCTTTTCCTTTTCCTTTTCCTTT